AAATAATCATCAGATTTAGTAATGATATGACAATTGTTTAGCATTTTATCACTGATTTTACATGAATTGCAATCAATTGTTTGATTGATTGAAAAATAATCATTATTTTCGCATTCAATCGCTTCACACAAAACACTATTATTTGTATTCAAAATACACTGAATTTTGTCTATTATTTCACACAAACTCTTCATTGCATTGAATTTACTCTTCATTTCAATCAAAGAAACACTCATTAATTTTGAGCACATTTTCACCGAATAATTAAAACACAATTCAATTTAAAAGAAAATTATTATTTCTAGTGAAAAGTGAAACTTTACACAAAAGGAAATGTGAATTAAATGCCTGTTTATAATAAAATGGCTGAAAATGCACAACACGTGCTCTCATTGATAGTGAAAACCTGTTCACAAAATTATTTATATTTACAGACAACCCCTGTTGAGGAAACTTCTATTGGGGAAACATCTCCTCATAAGAACTGGTTTTGAAATGTGTGTTTTGGATTTTCTATACTTATAGTTTCTTTTTAAATTAAACTGATTTTAAATATATATTCTATGTTCAGTTTTAGTTTTGAAAATATGTGTTAAATATGGTTATTATTTTGTAAAATGTTTGTTATTTTCTTATAAAGAGTGAAAATGTAGTCTAAATTTTCATAAATTCGTTTCCAATGGTGAATCTCTTATAGAGAAATTTCCATTAGAGAAGGTACATTAACATTTAAACTGTTAATTATTATCATATTTTCATATAATAGTTTGGTCGTTTCTTTTAGAGAGTTTCACTGATAGTGAAAATCAATTACATTTTATAAATAGATTAGAAATAAATTAATACTAGATTTTAATTTAAAAGTTGTAATAAATTTAGATGTAGTAAAATATTTTTGAAGTTATTATTGTATTTCTTTGGATTCAACATGATCAGAGGTCTGCTAGCTTTTAGAATTCACACAAATTTCGTATATATAAACTTATAAATTAATGCTAAAACAAGCTATCTACTGTAGATATCTTGTTTTTAACATTAATTTATAAGTTTATATATACGAAATTTGTGTGAATTCTAAAAGCTAGCAGACCTCTGAACATGATACAAAAATAATTAATCGATTTAAAACAAAAAAAACAAATTATGAAAATAATTGAACAGAAAAATCCGATTATCATTAAATTGATATCATTTTCAAATTATTTACAAGAAGTATTGTTTCCAAAGGCCATCACATGTAGTGTCGTATGGATTGATAAATACATTGGGTTTTGGGTTTGGGTTCAGGTTTTTCACATTAATTGTATTTCCACTCAATAATTGTGGCCA